CCCTAGCACCAAGGTCTCGAGTGGTATCAGTGGATGCATCCATTTTATGGGTAGTCCAAATGTCAAACTGAGTTATCGTCGTATAAATTCGTCAGGAAAGAACTAGTCCTCTCCGTGTTATGCTCTTTGAGTGCTAGGTTTGTGCTCATCAAGAAGAAATATTTATTCATTCTATATCCAGGGCGCCTGAAATGAGAAATGGCGGCTTTCATTTCAAACTTGATATGTGCACGGGTCTAATATTTTTCAAGGACTCTGAAGTTTTTTTCTTGCTCAAATTCTTGGATTTCTCCTTTGAGTTTAAGAGTGCTTGATCTCACGCAAACAATTTGGTATCAACGAGGGCAAGACTGAACACCTGTACGCGGTGTCCTCTACGAACCTGGGTGTGAAATATTCTCCCAGAGCCAAGTTCAGTCAAATTTCGCAATATCAAAGAAGTTGGCCCACGAGACAAAAACCCAAATTACTCCACCACGTCAAATTTTCACTCCCAAAAACTCCGAATCCTACCCAAGCCTCATTAATTCTACAAGTAAGACCTATTACATCCTCATTCCAATGACCACACTTTTTTTCGACTTCTCTGGCCTTAGCTGGTCGCCAGATACACGCCCACGCCGATATTTATACCCGACGGAGGACACAAAGCGTGGCGCACAAATCTGGAAGACAATCCCTTGGGATGGATGTGAGAGGGATCAGGACAAGTTAATAAGATGATGCAGAGGATTGGATACAGTCTCGACGGGCATGGAATTTTGAAATTTGGAAAGGAGTTTTTACAAATTGAGCTTTTTGCGTGCCAAGTCTTCGGTTGCGAGAGTGCAACCGACACTATAAATACCGCCATGGTTGAATGGTGCGGTGGTACATCGTCTTGGCCGGTCTGCCAAGTAGAGTCTGGATAGCTTGAACACATATCCCACTTGAGACAGTAGATCGCTGGTTCAAATCCAGTAAATCACAAGCACATCTCTCGCGGCGTTGGTATGCATGGATGATGATAGCATGCTTTGATAACCAAAGGTTTCGAAATTCCCTTCGGTGGGTACTAACGGAGGAGGGTCGACTGTTTGTGTAAGCAAGCATACCTCATAGTGGTATTTGCAAATGAAATCCAGAGTATGACTGTCTCTAACGTCAAAAGAGTCATCCAATATCGATACATAGCACCGGTCATGTGTCATACCTAGATAGCTGAATACACATTAAATGATTTAAAAAAAAATTGGTACCAAGAAACTCTCTATTGCTACCCAATCCAATCTTGTGTGGACGCCGAGATCCATTCTCGGGTGTCCATGCTACTCCATCCCCAAATTTGCTATTCTTATTTATGGTAACGATGCCAAGCTAGTTAAAGTGTACTTGTAGATTGGAATGTATGGAGAGAGAAGTAACAGAACTATGGATAATGGTTATTTGTATAACCTGCTCATCCAGCACGTACTTTGTGTGTATGAAAATTTGCTCCGCCACTGTCCATCATTATCCTGCTGAGTGACCTAGCTTGGCTCTCACATTTGACATTTTATCAAACTGTGGATAGTTTGGGAGCGATCAATATAGAGTTTACGGTGTTAGGTTTACAAAGCTTGGAGTTACTTGATTCTGACAAAGGTGTTTTACTTGGGCTGTAGCAATAAGAACTCTATCTGTTCTGACTAGAGATGTTTCGGTCCAAACCATGAGAAACTCGGCTCATGGGGACAAGTTGGGGACACATAGGGCATTTGCTATTTTCTGGACGTACATTATCTAGATAGTAACAGAAAGAGAAATGGCAGCCAGGAATGAATGATACTTTTTACTTTTACTTCTTACATTATTCAATTGACTCGTAGAGTCTAACACATTTACACTTTGTCGCATCAAATACTACTTAGACCTAATTTATTGTGGCGTAGTGGAACTCAGTCGTCTGGTATAAGATACGAGAGAACATTCTCACTACTGCGCTGAGAGTCCAGTTCAGGTGATGCTCTAACAGAATAATCATGTATTTAGGTGAACTTGTATCAGCGTAAGTCATCATGTTCTCCCAGATGGGGTAATTGCGTTCACTTCCGCCCAGTAGACAATAAAAATAAATAAACTTGTATCAGCTTATTTCTAGGATTAAGCAGTCTTTGGTTAGTAAATGAGAAACCAAACTTTACCCAAACTTCAATGCTTGATAGGAACTCTATGATATTAATTACAGGCGTGCCTTGAATCCGAAGTCAAAGTTGATAATCCGAAAGCACGGCGCCTCAATTTGCTAAGGTCTCCACCTGGGCTAAGCCACGATCAGATCGTAACAACTCTAGATCCATGGAACCAGAATAATAACACTTATGTCGCCAGATCATACGATAGTGCATCTTATGCTGCCTTCTCTTTGGTGCAAGTAACGCTAGTCTAGCCAAGATGGGAATCTAACTCGTTGAGGGTTAGAGATTGATGTGGCGAGGAGTCATAAATCATTAACTCGTGGGCCAACTTCTTTTTTATGGAGAAATATGGCTTTTATTGGCTCTGGGATAATATTTCTGTCCTATGCTCGTAAAAAACATCGTGTATAGGTATTCAGCTTTTGTCTACCCATGTCTTTTCAAATCCTTTAAAAGTTGATTTTGAGATTTATATATAGTCGTTTTATATCCTTGAATCAGTTGCGGAGAATCCACTAAATTTAACACTAGCCAACATTTGGATAGGGTTATCAAGTTAAGATATTGGAACGTGTTGTCCTAGCTTCCCTAGTTTCATCATACTAAGCTTGGTCCCTACATATAGATGTATTCCCTTCTTCCATAGTGTTACGGTTTGACCGTTGTCTGAGCTTATGTGGATACCTAAGCGTATTGTTGAAGATTCATGTTGTAAGACTGTAAGGAAATGATAGAGGATACTGGAAGATACGGCACTACCAGCCAAGGGGCCTGATCAGTGTCACAGCGTAGTGATTCTTGATAATATGTGGCTGGGTGGCAAGTATTCGGCCTAGGGTGAAGAAATCAGTCAAGATAATCACTGAGGGGCTGAATATTATAAATACCCGTTAGTTGAAGCTAGATTTCTCTTTCTTCTTTATACAGTTTATTAAATCGACATTATCATCACCAACTCGGGGTTCCCGTCACACATAGATCTTCAGTTCATCAAATTTACTAAACATCTCTGAAGGTCATATTTAAATTCCTCTAGTAATAACCCCATGGATTTGTATCTTAAGCTCCTTTACTTGATTTTATGTTCGAAAAATATCCTCCTTGAAAATTCTGGCCATCATGCTCGATCTATAACCTGGCAACGCAACCTATTTTCGTAGACTTCCTCGACTACTTGACGCATCTTCTTTCTTGCTGGTGATCAATGTCAACCCCTGGTCCTCATCGATATCTTGAGTTTTTTATGTCGCTAGATGATGCTTTTCTCGTCGGATAATAGCTGTCATTCGTAGAAGCTTGAATCAAGCTTCTGAACACTCCCATTGTAGATTTGAAAGTTCCTGCATGCCGCTCGTTGCCATTCATCGTATTCTATTGGTTGGGAGGTCTAGAATTCTAACCTCCGTCGCTAGACAAAGATCTTTGGTCAACTTGAAAACGATGGAATTCTCTAACCCTTTTATTTTTGCATGATGAAGGGCCCAATAAACCTCGATAGGTGAATCATTCCCAAATACTTGAAAAGCCTCTTGTTCTGCTATTTTGAGAGTTGCGTCTCTTTGAGAGATCAATGGGACGAACAACTCAATGTCATTTATCCTTAGTTGACGAGCCGCATATGCAGCTGGAATATGCCATGGCCCCTTTGTGAGAATTACTGTAGGCAGTATTTTCTTTGATCTCTTAACCTGTATTCTTTTTGTTGTTTTCGCCATCGAAGACTCGACAAATGACGCAAACTTCCACGGCGCAGGTGAGTATAGAACCGTTGATAGTATCGCCTTTGGGACGATATATGCAGGAGTTTTCTTCATAAACTCTTTCATTGGCCTCTCATTTACACAATCGGAGGGTACCTCAACGTTTATTTTTCCAGTCCTTCTCGTGTTCGTTGGAAGCCTGAATGGCCCCAGCAATATCCTCAATACTTGGTATGTAATCTTCCTGAACTTCGCCCATAGAGGTTAGCTTTAAATATTTTAATATAGATCGTAGTATTTCGCTGTTCTCATATTTAGGGGTTAGTTTTGCTCCGTTGGTGTCAATAATCTCAGCCATTATTACTTTGTTGGGAATGTCGAGGCCGCTGGTCTTCGCCTCACTGGCTCCCAGGCCCGCCAATTTGTCGCGCGGCGGACTCTAAAGAAAGAAAACAGGTAACCGATAGTTAAAAGCAGGATTCACGATGCTATATAGATAAAACAGGCAGCATGTAACGCTGCACAGCTTTCTATGAAATGCCATTAAAGTAACGTCTTTTATAGAAGTCTCCTAAGTTACGGAGCGAACCTGATGACACTATCAACTTTTGCTAAATTATGGACAGTTTTGTGTGTAGGCGAAACAAGACTTAAAGCCAATTAGCTCAACAGTCAATCCGATATGGCGCCCCTAATGTTCAGTAGAACTCCACAAGTGTAAGTACCTGTCTCTTTGAATTTAGATGTCTTGTTCACAGTAGCTTTCCATTCTTTGCTCTAAACAAATAATTCCGAAAATTAGATTTCTTTCCCTGATTTGCTCTTTAGCGTAATTTTTCTGACTTCGCTTGCTCGTTAATGTTGAAGCTGTAGCTAGTCTCTCTCTTTTCTAATGTAATTTTACATTTACTTTAACTCTAATCCTCTTGTTGATGGCTTAAGTTTGAAGTTCTTTAGAGGATTCTCAAGCTCTGGCATTTAAAAATAACCAGTCTTGTCATAAATTCTTGGCGAGGATCTCATGAAATCTCACGATAAACCTTTCGGCATCTCCTCATAGTATTAGTACAAATGCAAGTCTTAATTCAATTGCCGACATTGTGTGGTACTATTTTTTAATGATGGTTACTGATATTTTGTTAGTTTAAGATGATATTAGTTGAGCAAGCACAGAATTCAAATTAAATTTCATACTTATATCCTGTAGATACGTTAGACAGAGCAGTTTGGAGATTTAATGACTTACTTCGTCTTCAAGCACGTGACTCAGTCCAACACGCATTCCCTCTAAGATTAAGAAATGTTTAGCGGTCATGTCATCGAGAACTTTTGGCATGGAACTTACGATGGCGAACGCTACGACCCCAAACTATGGCGACTTTGAATCCATCAATTAATGTTTTGTGGATAGAATTGCAGAAATCTTCAACTGTACACTTTGATGAACGGAGAACAACAGGCTCATCAAAGTTGGGTTGCACTCCTTTTGGTTTTGTGTACACTCGAACAAGGTTGAGTTTGTCCCACCTGCACATCGTGAGATAGGGTAGTTATGTTGAGGTGTGACTTACATCTGCTCCATTAGTTCATCAATATTCCAGCCATGTTCAGAAGATATAGGGCATGCATTAGGAATACGGTAAAGAAGATCTAGTTCCTCAATCGAAATGGAATCAATCTTATTTAAAGCGTATATCACAGGAATATATGATCGACTTTTTGCCTCTAAAACGTCAATAAGATCGTCAATTGTAGCATCACACCGAATGGCTATATCGGCCGAAGATATTTTATATTCGCCCATGACAGCTTTTATTTCGTTCTGATCGATGTGGGTAAGTGGTACGGTGTTGGTAATAGCTATACCTCCCTTATCTTTCTTCTTAAAGACTATGTTTGGTGGTTGCTTATTGATTCTGATGCCAAACCCTTCAAGCTCAGCCTCGATAACCTTCTTATCGGTTAAGGGCTTGTTGACATCTAACACAATGAAGATTAAGTGACACTAAAAGCCTGTAAGCCTTGAATGAAAATTGGCATGGGTGATTTCGGCTTACTGTCTTTGCTACTGCTATAACTTGCTTTCCTCTTCCTTTACCATCCTTAGCACCCTGAATAATACCAGGTAAATCTAACATCTGTATCTTTGCGCCATTATATTGTACTTGACCGGGGACAGTTGTCAAAGTGGTAAACTCATATGCAGCAGCCTCTGAGTGTTGTCCTGTAAGTTTACTCATCAAAGTACTTTTACCAACTGATGGAAAGCCGATGAACCCTACGCTTGCAACGCCTGTTCGGGCGACATCGAAGCCGGCTCCACCACCACCACCACTAGACGTAGGCGTAAGAAGTTCTCTCTTCAGTTTCGCAAGTTTAGCTTTTAGCTGTCCCAAATGAAAAGAGGTAGCCTTGTTTTTTTGAGTCTTGGCCATCTCGGCCTCAATATCCTGGTGATCTCTGTGAGCCAGAGCTTCTTACAGCATTTAAAGTGTTGAAGGCTGAAACTAACCTTGATCTTATCTACTGTCGTCGACATCTTGACCTCTGCGATGAATTTAGTACAATATTCAGTGTTGGTAAACTTAAATTAATTTTATCAATAGGCTTGTGGATTATCATTTAAGCGGAAATAACTTCAAAAATGTAATCCACTCGGTTATCTAGCTTCTAAACGGCCCTATCCCAGAATCTCACCACAATCAACGCGTTAGCTAAATAACTTCTTGAAAGCAAATTTTCAAATATCTTTTAAAGTTACTGTCATGCCTGCGGGCATGTAGGACGAAATCTTTTTATCCTTCAGCGTTATTCCACAGGAATTTCTAACCCTCACCTGTGTCTCTCCAGAGTCTAGAAAAGGTCGCTGGGCTCATCAGTATTGAGCCGAATTACCTACCTTTCCTTTATAGAAACAGATCTGATAATTTCCAAGACGACCTCAATAACAGTGATGGAGCTGGCCGAATTTATTGAAGTTATGGTACTAAAGTCTGTCATTGTAACTGATAAATCACGATGAGTAAACGCTTGTCAGAAATATCTATGAAGCAGGGAATTAAACATTTTGCTAGGGACTAGATCACTTAAAATTCACCAAACTGAAGGCCGCCTATGAGGCGATGATTTAAGACTAAATCTATTACAATCTTTCGCCAACAAAGATGAATCCTTCACCTTCCAATGGTGCCAGTGCATTCGCTCAGTATGCTCTGCATATCTGGGAAAGCCAAGAAAAATCGCATCCAAATCGAAGACGAAAGTAATCTCAAGCATGTCTCCGTTTGACGACTTCTCGACAATGCCTCTCTTGTCATTCTTATCTGAGTCTTTAATCTCTTTCTAACCATGCATCATCTCGCCTCAACGACCCATAAAGAAGTAGCTCCAATTACATACAGGAGCTTGCCCCATTAATTTCCAGCCATCTCTCAATACATATCTAGATTGCTATTTATACTCGCAAGGAGGAAACCAGGTCGAGAAATACAAAGCATGGGTCTTGGCTTATAGGGGACTGTTGCTCTAATGGGACAAACAACTTGAGGGAGAACAGGCGGCTGAGATGTGTAGCGATAAGGGGAACAGGTCTCTAAAATCCATGCTGAGACTAATGATAATGAGTTTCCAACTTTGTACTTTTTGTGGGCGCCAAGACCGGGATTTCGGTGAATTATCCAGGAGGGCTTCAATTGGCGATGAGTCACCGGCACTCCCCAACGCCCTGGACAGCACAAAAGAAGATGGGATAAGCGACAATACAGCAATCACGCTCTGTCAAGACATTTCTGACATTTCATCACGACCTTCGGGAAGGAGTTGGAAGGAGACTAGAAAGGCAGAGGGTGGATTTCATGACGTGCCCAAAAGTCTGCAGCGCCCAGGTGGCCGGCCTTTTCGAACGCTTCAAAAGGGGCACTATGTCTTCGGATTTAGACCTAATGTCGGTAGTAGGACAGCTCCGCACCCAGTGGTTTTTGCAATTTTTCCCGGCTGCCAAACACCAGCTAACGGCCATCGTTTCGTTGGCTGGAGAAGGGAAATCACGAAGGGCTAAGGGCTCCTCTAGATATATGATCGAATGAGGGTTTGTGAGGGGTGTGCTACGGGAATACTCCCTTGTGTGTACTATCTGCGCCAGTACGGTAGAGATGGAATCTAGGGTCTGGTCAGCTATAGAGACTGCCAAGGGTGGAGATTGGAAACGGTTGCTAAGCAACAGAGGCTATTATGATCAGCGTCGTTAATTAAAATCCCTTACGTAAATAGAAAGATATCGGAGAGCTTCCGACTCAAAAATTTGTTATGAAACTGATTTTATTCTGGACTTGGTCTGCTGTATACCAACACCAATTAATCCGGCGACAGGGTGTTACGATTTCATGGGAGCTTTATGGGGGGCTTATGAGGGGATATACTATTGGCATAGTTACCTTGGCCTATAGGCAGAGTGGACCTGCACATCCTACATAGTCATAGACTCAGATAGTATTGAAATGTATAACCCACTACTTAGTTCGTGGACTTATTGGTAAAGGGAAGCTTATGCAATAATGAAGGATAAAAGGATGTCTATTCGACGACTCTATTATACACAGGTACAAGACTCCTTTTAGCCCCAATAGATAGCCCGTGCGGGATCTCCTATTAACAGCAATAAACAACGCTAGCACAGGGTATACGCAATCTCCGTTCGCCAAACACCAGTCGGTAGGGACTACTAATTATCGAGCCTAGTAGGATCGACAAAGTGTATCCCAACACAGAAATCATAGAAAATTCAACAACCAAACCCTTCATCCATTACTTCCATTAAGCATCACCTGACTCATCTCTGAACTCCATAATTTCAACAGATAGGACAACAAATTGAACTAATAATAATACTATAATCTTTCGCATAGAATAAGATGGATTATGACCAAACTTCACTTAAACTTCATCTCTAGCTTTCAATTCTCTCCAACAATTGATTCCCTGCGTCATTAAAACCACCAGGAGACAATGATCGTAGCGCATGAAGATAGCGAGGAATATACTTAGAATGGACGTTAGAGAGTGCGTTAGTCAGGGAAAATTCCACCAGTAGTAGGAACAATCTCTGAAAGTATGACATTTCGGGTTTCGAGGAGATTTTCACATTGAGGAGTATTGTGTAATCCACTGCTATTTCAAAATTTAGGAGATGCCTTGAGCAAGTTCACAGATGAAATTATGGGGGTATATCAACCGGGTCGGACTCAAATTCAAAGTCGAAATTGTTTTTTTATATCGATGCACTGATCATATTAGAATTTAGTTAAAATGAATATTTATCCGCGACGGGCGCAAGCCTTGTGCTCAAGGAGCTTGAAACGGTTAAGGCTAATCCCTCTTCGACGACTAAATACGACAATAACTCAGTTTGACATTTGGACTACTCATGTAGTGGGTGCATTTGTTGGTACCACTCGAGACCTTAGTGCTAGGGACTTTCACCCTTCCCTCAACCGTTAATATCCACCAAATAGAAAACGGGAAAAACCTTGGGTTGTCCTAACATGCCTTTGACATCTTGTATATAGCTGCCGCGTGAGATATGGCATCACAGTCCTCCCTTTCTCGAGTGAGGTAGGTGTCCAGGCTACCCAGACTTTCATTCGGGGAGATGACGACCGGGAGGCAGGCTAAAACACCTTCCATCGCTGCCAGTTTTTAGAGTGTCGATTGCACTATCCGAAATTGTTGCTTCTGTGTCCACAGACACCCTTAAGTCGGAAATACTCGATAAATGTGCGTCCCAGCATGCACATTTGTGACCTCTTCACTCCTTCGTCCCACGTCCCAGCTGCCTCTCCTCCCTCAAGATGTGAAGCCCTACTAGAGCAACGGTCCCCCCATAGACCAAGACCCGAGCTTTATAAATTATGACTTGGATTCCTCCTCACGGGTATACGTAGCATCTTTATTTTTTGGTAGGACATGACCGGTTTTTGATGAGGCAGATGCCCGATTGCAATTGGAGTAACGCCATTATTGTCAAGGGATAGAGTGTATTGAGGGAAGTTAATGTCACGTGATATAACGCGTCTGATACGCGATACACGATGTATATATTTTTACAGGACTCAATAGGAATCTTCTTTCTTCTTTGTAGCCAATCTCAATCACCTGATTAGACCTCGTCAATCTACTTCATGACCTTCCCCTGACAATTATCGGTATTTGAGGCGAGGTGGTGTAGTAAGATTGAGCTGGAGGACTCGCGTGAGAATTATAGGTGTTACGGGCTGTTGTGGCTTCTGGTTGGTCAGTTTATGATCACATTGATTTCACGCAGGTGTCTCGTGGTTCCGACTAGTCAACAATATAATGTGAGTAGAGCTTGAGACTACAAAATACGTGAGTTGAATTTTTTTGATGCGGAACCGCCATTTTATTTAAATATTCCCCCCGCCCCACGTGAGCCAATCAACAGCGCACAATGTGCACGGTCGGGTTCCCATCAGTTGGGATCCACACTGTGTCCCATTCAAATATGCCAATCACGTGATAAACGTAGGGTCGCTTCCCACGACTCGGATCACCCGAATCTCTCAGTTAATTATGTTGAGACTGGGAAACAGATCTTTTTTTTTTTGCATCAGATTTTCATAGCACATGCAGCTATCTAGCTATGACACAATATCAAAGAAAAGTACAGAATAGATGATTCAACGTAAAGGAAGAGCACTTATGCCTTAAAGGGAAATAGATCACTGGTAGCTGCAGAGGGCATGTTTAACGTAACGGATTTTTATTATTTTTATTTTATTTTTTTAAAATCATTTTATTGTCCTATCTGAGTCTATGACAATGTATGATATGCAGGTCCTCTCTGCATACAGGCCAAGGATACCTATGCCTCCCATACAGCTCCCTTCAAACAGTACCGCCCCTCACAAGTCCAACGTAACGGATTTCCTGTGGTTAATCTCTACAGAAAAATATTAATTCCTTGTCGTACTGTTTACGTGCGATGTCCGTAATTATCCTCGCCCTTAACCATAGGTCAGACATTGACGAGAATTCGACGATTTTAGATGTGTTTGAGATTGCTTCCGACTTAGATTCGGATGCGAATCTTCTTGGTCACACTAGTTAAGCAGATTATTCTGAGTGATTACATCGGCATCGCTAGAAGAAGAATGATACGTCTTTGCCGGTATCTGTATGGATCCTGAATTCCAAGTCCGAGCGAAACGCCAAGTCTCACGGCAAGAGAGCCGCCGAGTTTAAGGTTCCATCAAGAATGCATCCCTCGCATTATTTGGTCATAACCCGGGCGGCTAAGCACCTAACTTCTCCCCTACCGTACTCTTATAGTTTACTTGTCATGTATCATGGATCTTTACATTGTCTGGAATAAAGAGGATTTCATGTATTTAAGGAGGAGTTAGAACGTTAATAGAAATACAAGTTTACACCTAGTCTCAAGCTCTATACACACATAGATTGTCGTAGTCGGAGCCACGAGACATCCGTGAATTTCACAGTCAACATTAACATTTTATTATTACT